CGGATCAAAACAATGTAGACCGAAACGGGAGTACAAAATTCAAATTGCCAGTATAATGCTGCCTGTGTCAGAAGTTACCTTAGGACTTTCGTGGCTTAAGAAAGTGCAGGAAGACGCAGTACATTCAAATGCATAAATGCAGGGGACGGCATTTTCAACCGTCTCTAGGGGATAATTTTAACTTACGTGCATAAGCACTTGCTTGCTGCGCACCTGGTAATTGAGCTTGTCCTGAAATTACGATGGAAAGTTCAGTGTCCCAACTTGAACCTCAAATAACATATATAATAATGGGTGGGACAAAATAGTCAAATACAAGTCGTAAACTTAAAACCCACTTTTCTCAGGTTTTCCTGGGTACATTGATGAATTCACTTGAAGGTTCGTTTGACCCAGGTCCTTGTTATTTACGGCCGGATACGTCCATGTCAGTCATTATTGACTGTCAAAATCATGCATTAAATGTGAATTTGGTTGGCATATGTCGGTAGAATAGGAAAAACGCCATCGAGTAGAATGCAGATTTTTGGTGTGACTTGCAATTGTGGAGATTTCGTCCTGTAAAATTGTTTATTGCCTATCCAGATGTAGTTGGGACAGGACCAATATGGGTAAATTGTATTTGAGAGAAAACATCTCTTGGCTGATGTAAACAAATATACTTGCAATTGTGGAGATTTCGTCCTGTAAGTGAAGCCAGTCTAAGCTGAAAAGCCGAGAAGCACTGTACAGCTGTTTCATCCTTATTGGGAATCATCAGTAGTGCGCATCTGGATATCCCAAATCTCCTCACACTACCCACAATATATAAGTAGCTCAGTGGAAATATAAACTTCACCCGATGAATGAAATTTCTATCTGAGAAGTCGTTGTTCGAGGAGCCAGTCAACACGTGTGACCGCGTGATGTGGATCCCGTGATTGAAGGATGAGAGGCGCTATATCCTGTCTAAGTGCGAGTTAATCACACTGCCGATCAGCCACTCGTGGCCGAACGGTTAAGTGTTCAAACTACTAGCCGGGAGGTCGCGGGTTCGAGACTCTTCGGAGTTTCGTGAGATGCGCACTGCTGATGATTCCCAATAAGGATGAAACAGCAGCTGTACACTGCTTCTCGGCTTTTCAGCATAGATTGACTTCCCTTACAGGACGAAATCTCCAAATAAAATCGTGCGAGTGCAAATTAATTATATTGACCTTAACAATCGCAACTTACTATTTAGGTCTTAGCCATTCGTTTATTTTCAGTCCGTGGAAATAACTCGATTGTTAGCATGATATTTATCCTTAACGCAATCACCTCCCTGGTGCGCAAAACACGTAAGATGAATGAGGTAGAAAATTGCTTGAGTTTTGTAAACAACAAATTCGGTCAGCACATTTTTGCAGACGTACCTGGGTATAGATTTTCTTGTTGCATTCCAGAAGATTCCGATTGTGCTAAAGTTAAAAAATGCCGCCACAACTCCTCCTGTTAGTGCAATTCACACTGCGGGATGTGCGTTGTGTCTCCTCGCCTAGCTTTTCGTCGTGTCAGACAACTTAGAAATTCACTAAACATTCTCAACTTTCAAGCAAGTCTGGCAAAGAAAATGTCTATACCAACTGTGGAACGTTCGGAGAGACAACTGAAAATAGGTGAGCACACAAATTCCCCGAATACGTTGTGTGGTGAGGTGTTTAAATAACTTTTACTTAGGGTGGAGAAAAAAACCTCATCCAAGCGACCATGGATGTAGGCTTTATTTTTGCACCATCAACTCCCATCTTATGGGTCAATCTTGTATGTAACAGTTTTACCTATGCAAAACCTAATGAGGAATAAATGAAACAAAACAAGGCTTATATACCCGAAGGACGTGAAAATAAGGCAAATGGATAAAAAATGAAGGCATGGTCAAGCATTGAAGTGGAGATACTTGGAACCACCGAAGGGAAAAGGTTTGTCCCAAACATTGGCAGATATCCGCATTTATATAGCGGAATGCGAGTGACCGGCATACCTCCCCCTTAAGTATATGTTGCCGCAATTAGTTTTGTTCACGGAAATCTTGTACGGTCAGCCAAAAACGGTCTTTAGCCAGTAAACTAAAAGACATCGTGCAGTCAGATTTCCTCTGAGACTTGTACTTCATCAAGCGATACTACTTAGACATCTTGCTCAATTTAAGGTTAAAAGAACCACTGGAGCTCCCACTTTCCTCATGCTTTCCCATCCCGAGCATTCTGACTGCAGTACACCAGAACGACTGGTTCCTTGTGAATTCTTAGCTTCAGAGAATATTAAAGCTGCCAACATTATTCTAAATGAACTTCACAAATTTTGATACACAAATCTTTTGTAAGCCAATCTCCTTTTACATGTCATTATATTGAACACCCAGCTAACAAATAACCAAATGTTTGGGTGCCACTTTATTTTAAACTATATTGGTTCCACCGTACCTTGCCGAGCAGCTGCAAACAGACACTATTCTGCTTCTCGAGGGCACCATGTTTCAGAGTCCAACGGTTTCGTAGTAACATTAGAGAAACATTTCAAACCCTGTGAATTTGATTGTGTTTCAGTTTCTTCCGCTGGTTTAGTCTAATTAACGGGGAATGACCAGCCGCTCAAAACAAAACCGCACGCTTGAAAACACGCAAGTCCTCAAATGTGGGAATGACCGCCACAATTACTTCGCATCACATGGCATATGTTGGATGTCAGATTTGCAACCCAACGAACTTGCATAAGAACCGACTTGTTGGATGTTTGAATCATGCAGTGAAAAGAAAATGGAAGCCTGTGACATTATTCTAAATGACCTTCCAAAATCCCTGTTGTAATTCTAAATTGTTTGTAACCATATCTAAATTTGTCTGAGTGTTACAGGAGAACGAGTATTGTGACAAATCTGTTTCAAATCTGTAAACTAATCATATCGGAAAAATAATCTGTGCGACATACCGGGTGCAAGAGCTGTTAAGTAAGAGGGGATGAGTTTACTGGTTGTCGATCAGGTGGCTGTTGTTCTGTTCGCCTAGCTTGATAATTGGCTTGCAAACGTTTCTTCAATATACTAGTGGACAACATCAGCCCGTATGTGGGTGGGTGGTGATACATTTATTCCAGAAACTGACAAAATGGTCACGTGTATGACAACGGAGCAGTAAAAATCATATCTTGGATTTTAATCGTCGTAACGTAAGCTCACATGAGTAGGAACTTCCTGGTGGTCCAACTGGCCCTTGAGTTTGTGCTGCAAACAGTGTGGAAGAAAGATGTCAGTAATCTCAGTTTAGAGAAGATGCAAACATCTTGCTCACAAACCAGCGGACAACCACATGGCCAATGCGAAAATCGTGATACCAGTATTCAGTATTCGATACATTCTGGAAGCAGAAAAATTACACAAATAAAACTACTAAACATGTTATCAACGCTGTGCTCCACTGATTACTAACTCACCGTGATGTACATCGTAGATGTTACCCTATGTTCCAACATCAGCATTCGAAGCGCTACCTAATCTTTTGATAACCCCAGATTTTGAAGGCTCTTAGCTGTGTTTATTCGCCGAAGGTGACATTCCACTTACTTTGAATGTGACGGCTTCTCACGTTTGGTTCTGCCGATTTGGTTCAGTAAAATGACGTGGTGGTCAGAAAGCCAACAGTGTTCGTTTGCCAGAAAAGTGTTAACCGTTACCTGAACGTTTTCTCATCTCAAGAAAAGTGCCAATCTTTCATTTACGCAGTTTATAGAATAAACGATTCGCCTTTGTTGGAACTCACGTGCATATGAACTTCCTGGTTGCAGTTGAGGTTGTGCTGAGAACGAAAATAAATCATCCCATTTTACAAGTCGCAGAGGAGAATTTTCACCAAATGTTTGGGGGCCATTTTATTGGAACCTAAGTTATTTCCACCTCAGGTTCTTCTCCAGCAGCAACAAAAAGGTACTAACCTGCGTGTAGATTGCCCATTGCTTCACAGTCCGCCCGTTGCGTTTGTCGCTTTAAGGAAACATTCCACACCCTGTGAATCAGATGGCCTTTCAGTTTCTTCTGTTGATTTCATCCAGTTATATGTCTTGGTGGCCTGGAAGATTTGTGTTTTAAATGCTTTCCTGAAATTGCTTCATCTGGATTCTGATATGCAAAGGATTGCCAACTAAAGTTTTTAATCCTTATGGCCTAGTCGAGTAACCAATACAAGGAGAAATTGGGTAATTCGAAAGAATAACAATAACACAGATGTCTCCGATTGAAATGTTTAAATAACCAACGGATTTTCTAAATCCTGAACATCAGAGGCATCTGATGCACCGGTGAAGCAGTACGCGCAAAACATATTAAAGCACATTCGAATGTATTGTTGTAAAATGACACTTGCAAATCGGTGGGTCACGTGCTCGAGCCACAAACCGTAATCGATGCCCGCTGACTATACCATCAAACTGAAATCCTCCTCTGGAATTTCTGTCCAAGTCAAAACATGGAACATCTGAATACGGAAAAATCCACTAATTTGACGGCAACACTTTTGACTCACCTGTGTATGAAGTATCTTGTTGCATACCCGATGCTGGTATTTGTGCTGTAGCGATAATGAAATTCGCTGCTCACTCGCGGATAGTAGTTAGGTTGCAACCGATAAGCATCATCAATATTGAGAGCAATATACAAGACCCAAAGCGCCAGTAAGCTGCGTTCTATGTTCCAGGTTTTTCTATTTTAACGCGGAGTATTATTTATAATTCTCTATGTCAGCGCTGAGCAAGTAACTCGCGCTATCCCAGTATAAGCCACAATACATCGCAGATATTCGATAAAATACACAAACAAATTTATGCAGCCGAACTTCTATATAACGCGAGATGATCCAAGTGGTTAGAGCGCAAATTTACTAGCCGGAAGGTCTGTGGTTCGAACCCGACCTTGGGCTCTCGACTTCTATCCAGGCTTGGGTAACCTGGCAGTAACCCAGCCCTCGTGCAACCTTCGGATAGCATACCAGCTAGCAACCGGAAGGGCTCCACAGCCGAAAGACGATTTTACATTCCAAATAGTCACTAATTAGCACCGAAAATTGGCGGAAAATTTGCCAGACAACGAGTATTTTTTCTCCATTCCATTTCTCAGAATGATCGTGTGATGAGCAATGCAAAATTTCGGCGCACGTTAAATCTAGATGGGGTATTGTTCACCTTCGTGTAACGAGTGGTAATTTCTCTAATAAACACACTCAACGGGTCAGTCTGTTTTTGCTTATACATCTTGATTCCCTGTTGCAAACTTGACTTCCGAAATTCGGGATACGCAGAATATAACAGAACGATTGAATCAATGGCAATCATCAGGTTTTCGATTGCTTGATAAAATAATTTTTCAAATTGTAGTTTAAAACTACTGTTCTGTTCTGCGGGTGAAGTTATATCTGTTCTGAACGCCAAAAAAGGTACAGTTGTTTAATTCTCATCAGATTTGAGTTGTCATGGAGCTTCGGAAAATGTGCACAAATCGGACAACTTTAGTGAAACCTTCGTCCAGTGATATTTTGCATTATATTGTAGAACGGCTTCTGTTACAGGACAAAATTCCTCATCAGTATGTTGCAACATCCGCCAATATCAAACCGATTGTTTATCAAAACATGTGCTAAAAAGCGTTGACCAAATTCCAAGGGCATTTGACCGAGGGGCAAAATATGGACGTGCAAATTATATGCCAAGACACGGATATGTTACACGCGTCAATTGCAAAAAGTAAAACCATTTTCTTATACGCTATTGACTTTATGTCAGTATTTGGCGTTTCCGTTTATTTTAAGACACAAGTTTTCAAAAACAGAATAAGTTATCAATTATGTGGTAGCGTATTTGACTCATTTGTATAGGAATCACCTTGTTGCATACCTCAGGCTATGATTTTTGTGTAGTGAGTGTGAAATTCTACTTTTGTTCACATGTATCATTTAAGTCGGAACTGGTCGATATCATGGAGAAAGAAACGAAGATAAGCGATCCAGGTCGCCAGCAAGATGTGGTTCGTTTTTACCAAACTTCCTAAGGCATACCACTCCACAGCTGAGTACGCAGGCGAGGGTTATGGAATTTTCACTCCGTATCTAAGAGATAATTTCAATTCACGTGCATAGATGTTCCCTGCTGCACACCTAATACTTGAGATTGTGCTGATATAACGCGTGTAGTTATCCTGGGATATCTGAAATTCTAATTGCCTATAAAATACTGATTAGAACGGAAATAGCGCACATAAAGGTGAAAAATATCGTAAAGCTAGATTCTGCTTTTTTTAGAAATGATTTTGTTAAAAGTTGAAGTTTATTTCAGATTTATCCAACCCAAGTGTTTAATACGTCTAGCCCGTCTCAGTCAATATTGACGATCACAATCGCGCATAAAGTGAGAGTTGGTTGGGTATGTGTCGGTAGAAAATTCATATTTACTCTGACCAGAATGTATTATCAAGGGGTTGATTAAAGTCCCCGTCTTCGCTTGATGGAATTCTGTTCTTAACTAACCAGCAGAAAAGTGATGAGACGTGGTGGGGGGCAATAAATTCAGGACAAGTATGGCTGCACAATTCTCAAAGGGAAAGAACTTTGAGCAGATGGTAGCATACATACTGACATACTTCACAGGTGGAACTATCGTGGGTAAGGCATGGATTGTGATGCATCGGGTGGAACTAAAGAAATACAAAACTTTTACCCAGGCAGCCATTAGCCAAAACATCATTCTGATGTGCTCGTTGGTAACTAGCACACAAAGTTCAATATAAGGACAGTTTAATATTTCTTTTTTTCGCATTTCCTCCTATCTTCATAATGACACCCAGGTCAAATTTTCTTGATCTTGCTGAATGCGAATTCAAAATGATTGTGTCTCCTTCCGAATAATTAAACAGTCACACTTAAACAGTCACACTCAACAGCTTAGTCATTAAATATTCACTTTTCTTGAGTGAAGGACAATGGCTAGATTGTGAGCCAAACGTAAAACGAACGAGACCACCAATTTCCAAAATAATTGGCAAAAAGCGCTCAGGTTTTGGAGACAGCAAATTCAATTATAGGCTCACCTGGGTATAGATTTCCCTGCTGCATTCCTGAGGTTTCAGACTGGGCTGTGAAAGCAAAAAAAACCTCTCTAACCCTTCCTTCTGGGGCCGTGGACAATTTGATGTTCAAAAAGTTATTGCTTTGAGCGAAAATGCGTGAAAGAGGAGAAACTCTAGGTCACCCGACAGTCAAGTTTTGCATCCCGATCCCTAGCATGTAATGCTCATTAAGACCAAATAAGTCTACACTCAGTAGGCTGAAAGATTTTATGCAGCACGCTTCCGTTCTACAGCAGTTATCCCTCTGAGTGATATTCAGTCATATATGGCTCAATTTTTCAAGTGAAAGAGACCTTTGGCACTTTCATTCAAATGATGTTTTTATGCCCCGAGTTTACTCGAATAGCTTTAAAATGATTGATTTCATACGATTTTCCCTGATCAGCCAGAGCATTTTCAGTGAAGAGCAGGCGTTTAAAATTCAGGAATATCTTTGTATCAGTAGAATGATCGTGAGGGCAAATTACCAAACCAGTATAGCCTAACAAAAATAGACGAGAGTATGGCCGGTTATACAGGACAAAAGTGCAGTTTGTAAAACGCATGCCTAAATACGTGGAAATGACCACCACGATCAAGGTCAGTATAATAAATTTTGTTCGATGTTAAATGTGTCATCAGCGTACCCGCGTACGAACTTCCTTGTTGGATACCTGAACCGTGCAGTGAAAATGGAAGTGGAAAATCGTACCAATATTTCAAACGATCTCAATAAGTTCCTCTAGTAATGTTTGGATATTTGAAGCCATAATTAAGTTTCTCATAGTTTTACACGAGGGCAAACGATGTGAGGTATCTGTTTCAGTAGGGTATTGCAATCACGATGGAGCAATAACCTGTACGACGTACTTTGTTTGTTATGCATGTAGATGTGTTAGCAAATAAGTAGTTCCAACAAATAAGTGGCGACAGAGTTTATGAGAAACTAAATGCGTTCACACTTTGCCGAAATATATCTTACAACGTCAAACAACTTTATAACTCTCACCTACATATGTGATTACAACGCCTATTTTTTTCGGATTAATCAACTTCCCCATCTTCAGAGTTCCTTTTATTGCGTGATTCTCTCCGGATGCAGTGAGAGTTGTTTCATCTGACTTCCGGCAGTACATGTACTCATCCACACGATCGTATCAAAAAGTCAATGTTAAACGTACAGAACTATACCTTACTTGACGGATCGCTGAAGAATCCTCAAAAAACCACGTCTGCTTTCGCCTTCTTGGGCTTATCAGTAAGGTGCAGTCTCTGAATTTCCGAATTGCGCAAAACTAGCAAAATATACTCATTTGAATAGCAATTTGATTTTTACGAAGGACTGGATCCCAGCTGAATGACTTGGTTGTAATGTTATAAGCAACTTAATGTGTTGCACCAGATCGCCTCATGTATCGGTCTGTAAGATACACCGTATAGACTCAACGCAATACACTTAAGGTTGCTGTAAACTTTCCAACAGCACACGACATGTTTGGGCCGCCTTGAAGCTCATCGGTAAGTTTCCGTCAACTTCATTATCATCACAAACGTGAACCTTGGCTGCGTTGCATGTGAGTCACCCGTCAAAAACAAATTGGTATGGAAATGAGTGTAGTTTTCTTATACCATATTATCTTTTACCTGGTTATATTTTATGTTCAAGTAAATCAAAATTCCAACACAAGGGCAAACGTAAACCCACGTATCCTGTGTATGTAGTCTTCGGTACTACTCTGTGTTATTTTCATTTTCGTTCTGTTTCCAGCAGTAGCATACGGTGCCATTTTTCATTCAGGCAACCCCATTTTGAAGACGCGCTTACTCGCGTTTGGTTCCCAAAAAGATATTCCAAGTATTGTGAACCTAACAGCTCCTCATTATTGCTTCCGCTGATTCGGTCCAATAAAATGCCGTCATGGTCAGAGTGCTCCACATCTTTACAACTTTCTCATAATTGATTTTCCAATGAAAATATCTTTAGAGTAAAGTTGATCCCATACCTAATGAAAACAATTCGATTGGGATCACCTATACAATGAAAACATGTGTTACTCGGAAAAGGAAACAACGCTAAGTATTTTTTCTTCTGAACTCAACTGATGGCGACTAATATTCTACCGTAAGTATTTTATAGCTAGATATTCACCAAAATCTTCTATAATCTATTCAGTTTCACTGGTTTACCAATAACTCTTGGGTGTTTGTGCGGATTAGCTCAAGATTAAATGCAAAACTAGAAAGGACGTGATCCATGTACTAATAAAAAATGCAGCCGTTACTAGCGAAAAATGATGCGCTTACTTATAGTCTGTTGGCATCATAGCGCTAGTAACACGCCCAATTCACCAGTATGCACAAGCGGATTACTTGAGTTTAGGTCACCTCGCTATTCAGGCGAGGCGCGATGAGCACAACCTGGGAAGGAAGCACTATTCTGATTCTCTGAATTTGTGATCTTCGGTTTAATTTGAACGATGCCGTTGAAACAGGCTCCGTCACGTCAAATCGTTTGAAGATATTGCGGGGCATTCCATTTAGGTATAAAGTAGCATAAGCCGTCAAAAAAAGCAGTTTTAGGAAGACTTCATTCTTATTCGTAGAGCAAGTAGCGAGCCTAAATGTATATTCTTTGGTTAACTAATCCGTCAAGGATAATAGAACTTGACTGTTGCGTGAGACAATGAGCAGACAGTATCGGTCTTCCAACGTCCAGTAATTGAGCAGTGAATCTTGTATCTTTGGGACTTGTGCTAGAGCCGAGTAAGGGGTACAAAACTTTTCAGGCGCGCACTAGCTTGCTGTGCCGGTTCCATCCAAGTTCATACCTGCTGAGCAGCAAATAACCTGGCAAGTTTAATCCTCTGCGGACGAAGCTGGCATTTCAACAGTTGTTATTAGTGTGGCCGGCAAAAATGAGTTAGTCAGTAAACTGTAGACTGTAAACATTCCAGAAAGAGGAATTGCAAACTTAACCAGCAGAAACAAAATAGTGGAAAGAGAAGCGATCAGTGTAAAAACACCTCTCTGTTACTGTACTTGGCGCTTTCAATTCAGCAGCAAGAAGCTGGCCTCTTCGCTGACGCTGACGCTGTCGCTGCAGTCGTACATCGTACTAACAAAACGATTTACCTTCAGCAGTTAAACGGTTTTTATGCTTAGATTATATAACACACCAGTGCGCATGTCGAGAGGCTGCTTGAAATCCAGAACCGGTGACATTACGGCAATCAGTTGGAACATTTAACCTTTTGGCCAACAGTGGCAGATCAGCAGTGTGAGCGACTCACACCTAGACGAGACAGCTCTACGCATCCTTAAATCACGGGGTCCGCAAAATCATGACTTAAGGATAATGGCGATATCTCCTGTCTAAGTTTGAGCTGATTACACTTCCGACTAGTCGCTGAGGGCCAAACAGTTAAGTGTTCAAGCTACCAATCACGAGTTTGCAGGTTCGAGTGGAGCTTCCTTTGGTGCGCTCTAGCGATGATTCTCTATAGGGATGAAACAGCCGTGCCGTGTATTCCGCATTTTGTCTACCGGAGGAAAGCGTTTTCAAAAATCTAGACATCTCATCTCACTGTCAAATAATAACTGCACTAGAACATTATTTGTTTTGAGGTTGCCCAAACGCATGATCTGAGGAGGTGCCTAGTATCTAGCCACATGCAGGACTCCTGTTAACAGTAACAACATCGAACTCAAACTTGAAATGGCTTTCAACCAATTATTTCATTGTCTTGCATAGTTTGACGGGCGCAATTCACGTCAATCTTTCAAATTTGCAATACAGAAAACAAACTCATTTATTCGACAAACAGTCACCTAAACAACTGCTGCTACCAGTCGGTAGGCGGAAGAAAATACTAGCGCCTCATCCCAGTACAGCCTGAATGCGCTTCAAAAACATTCATTGTTCATTCCCGGTATGGGTACGACAGTCATCAAGGAGATTTTTACTCCAAATAGGGCGCCCATAAATGTACCATAATTTGAAAGACCTGTTATAAACTTGATAGCTTATTCAAAATGTTAGTTACTGATGACTCATGCAGTATGTTTACTTAGCGCCCTGAGATGACTCTCCTTCCTTATCGAAACGCTGACTGCATGTCGTTTATATCCAGGATCGTCGTGTTCAACGGCTAAACTGGGAAATAGTCACCAATATTCAAAACTCTGTTGATTGCCGTCACGAAGAGACGTGGTATGATGGTTTGCGCACCTCATCAATCCATTGAGCTATACTGAGAATTGCCTCGTGACACTCACAAAGTCTCTCATACCAGGTTGGTCAATAGTTAGAGGTCCGACAAGGCCCTCCAGGTTGAGGGTTGGAACATATAACGACTTGTCTGGTAGAAATGGTGATGTACTTGCATTTTCAGCTCAACACCGCTGCCTTGTAGTCAGGCTAGTTATCATGAATACAAGCGCAAGATATTTCTGTGTTTACATTCCACATCCTTAATCGTATCCTGCTACCGAAAGCTCACAAGAAGGTCCGACGACGGTCTTTGATCTCCATGTTTACTGGACTGACAAATAATGCCATGATTTTTCTATGAATATCTCGTTCTTTGAGTGGATTCAGTATTTATCAGTCAGTTCGCGTGAGTTGACATTTACCAAACTAATGGTAATGACGTTTTTCCGACTGTTGTTTGCGTATCGTCATCAAAGGTTAAAGACACTCCTATTCAGATACAGAGCTAGAAACTCACCTGGGTATGGAGGACCCTGAACGGGAACTGGTGGTGGTGCCGGACCTAAAAATAACGTTTCCACACAACACCCTGTACTCGTCCCATGCAATTGTAATAGCATCGAATCGCATTCATTTTAGTTTGCACTGAAGTAGCCCACAGGATGAAACGATTACATGAAGAGATAAAGTAAAAAAATGTTATCTTTCGGGCTGTAGCACTCCTCCGGTAGCTAGCTGACATGCCACCCGAATTAAGCACGAGGACTAGGATATTGTCAGGTTGACGAAACCCCAACACAGGGAGGCGAGAGGCAGGGGTCGCGTTTGGACCGTGAAAATTCCGGTCAGGAAATTCGCGTTTAAACCACTGACCCATCTGGCAAGACAGCGAAAATATAATTTCACAACGCGTAGTTAACTACCACGCAACTATAAATGTTGAGTGTAGACAACAAGACACTTAGGATGCACGTCTGCACTGTGCTTGATGTCCAGAGCTACACCTTTGGTTCAGCAAATATGTGCAGTTGAGGAACAAAAAGTGTAAACTTGACTTGCATTGTTTCAAAAGCAGTGTTCCTCAAGCTTGAGAAGGAAAAATTATGAAAGCAGCCTGCGAGCCCAACTTTAGTCGTCTCTGAATAGCATGTTTCTCGTTGAATATTTCTGACTGTATCCGCAAGTTCTACACCGATGCGAAACAACTGTTGCCAAAAGGAGTTTGTTCAACTGGTATAATAAACGGATATCGGTCGCACATGCCTACGACAAATTCTGCTTTGATCTGCATTTAACCGTTCTGACAGACTGCATATAAAGACATCAAACTAGAAAGTAAAACCACACTTGTGTGGTACGTAGTGTAATTTATTATTCCAGATTCACGGCCATCAGTCAATTGGTTCTTATCAATAATTACCTTGAAGTGCCCCTGTATAATACACACACACCTCTGTCACACCACATGATGTCTATCTGCATATTCTGACCGGTAAGTCGCGTTAATACAGCAGGTCCCCAAACGAGAGCTCGTTTTACGAAAGCTGATTTTCTACCACAACCGGCGGTTTTGTTTATGAAAATTCCAGACATTTTTCGACAGGAAGCCGGAAGTTTGGAAGACAGTGTAGCATGCTTCCGAGAATCCTCTGAATTTGCGCTTACTTCAGGATGAATAGCAGAGGATGAAGAAATGTGTAATTTGATATGGTGAGGTGTACAGGCGAGTCGCAGAACGGAGGACGCTGCGTTCCTGTGGTTCTCAGGAACTGACAACTGACGATTAACATCCACAGGGCACATATGAATTGGTCACCCAGAGTAACGATAATCCACAACACCGCTTCTATAATGAGGGTACTTTAGGAATGGACGAAATGGTGGCCAAGCAAACGAACCGTACCGCAAACATCTTTCATGATGTGAGGATGGATTCTCACCAAAGTGGAGTTGACGACGTCAGTCACCATCCTGTACGGGTATTTGTGTCCCTATTGATTTGGGGCGTAAAATATTCACGCCACCGCAAATTCAGAGACTGAGGATGATCCAGTTGTGTAATTTTCTTTAATTTAAAGAGAACTGTTAATGAGGGGCGTCAAACGATCGAGAAGACAATAAAGCTTAACCTGATATGTCCTCGAGGACATATTTGGCATAGTTACAATAAGCAGTAGGTTTCACCTTGCGAAATAAACTCAGTGAAACACTACGTAAAGACTGAATTTACGTGAATTTTGTGTGACTTATAGGAAAACATCAAAAGAGGATAGTGTCGCGTGCTATCAGGAACAAGAAGCAGTCCATCAGTGCTATAAACGGTATTCTTTCCATATCTTTCTTAGTTAATCACCTAAACCCTTGAGGTTAATACTAAGTAGTTGGTCAAGATTGTGCTGTTTTTGGTGTTCGTCATTTGCCGACTGCGTCAGGTTTCTTTAAGTTTCCGTATTGGAAACATCAACTATCAAAGTTTGGAACAAAGGGCATCATCACCGGCGTCGACAGCGTGATATCAGTGTTTTAAACAACTGCCTTTTTGCCGGACAACCATGATTTATTTGAAAGTTTTTCTTGTGGAGTAAAGAATAAAAGTAGATTGGAAAGGAATCAATGCTGACTTTCAACAATCGTTTCAAGGGGCAGACACCACCAGAAACTCATTCAGGCAATCAGGAGAGAAACTGACAACAAGAACGCCACCGGCAGCAATGTCGTGCAGCGTCTCCAACCAAGCGCAGTGGGGACCACGCAGCCCTTATCCTTGAAGGCGGGTAGCACCGACAGCACTGAAGCCTTTCGTTACCTCTCGCTCACCCGCTGCCAGGTCATCCTCCTTGCTTCCGCCACTCTAAATCGGATACGAAAACAGCACTCTCTTCGGCAAACGATGGCTTGACGTACGCAACACATATCCCAACCAGCTCAGTGGGGGCAAGATGGTTCCACTGTTAGAACCCGAATTTGCTGACCGGAAGGTCCGTGGTTCTAACTCGACCTTTACATCTCGAGTTCTTCTGTCTAAGCGTGGCAACCTTGCAGTATCTCAGCCCTCCTGCTTGTGTCTGGTAGCATGGCAGCTAGGCGCAAAGAGGGTGTTACAGCTGAACTCTGTGTTGGTTGTTTGGGACATCGGTTACAGAATTATGTCTACGTTTTCTCCAAGAGTTATGAAAATAATGTTTAACTAACACATGAATTTCAGCTGTTCGCAATCCGGGTCTAGTTGCTGACTAAATATTTCGGTTGTCACAACCTGGGACTGCGCTAATGTGCATAGCAATCTAGTTCGTCGTAACGAGTCTAATAAGACAGCATGAGTGTTGCGAAAGAAAGTAACAGAAAGGTGTCAGAAACGCGAACGTGTATTCAACTAGAAGTGAATCGATCAGCACTATGTACTTTTTAGATATTCATTTTTTGGAAAGAGGGAACATATAATTGTTCCATGGTCTAATCAACTGTTTTATATAGTTGTGCTTAATGTTTTGTCTGTCCGAAAGCATTAACGCAATACCGTCAATGTTATATAGTGAAACATTGAAACGTGAATTGTTTTCTGATAAGAACAGAATTTTCGGCACTTAATATACGGTTGTACCCGTAAAAAATATTTTCCTATTGGCACCAATAGAGAATCCCCTGGAGATTGCATTGCATTTGCATTGACACAGACGAGCTCGCGGACAACCGTGTTTCGAGTTTCTATGGGAAAAACTTTAAAAGCACTCCTTTCATCTACCAGGGAAATTTGCGCTTGCATTTCATATTATGGTGGCATCACTTTCTAAAGTCAGTGATACGACCATAGTAGCTCCAGAAATAACTGCAATGGGATACAGACCGTCTTCTAAAATGCGAAGAATTTCAGTGCCGCATCAAATCGTCTTCCTATTGAGGCAAAACTTGAAATGAGGGAGGTTAGACAATGACGTCCTTGTTTTGTTAAAACAGTCTGAATTACAAACAGAATGTTGATGTCATTAAATTTTGGCTGTCATTACTGCGATATTCTAGCTGATGGGTAATGAAATTTGGCAACTCACACCATATTTTACTACTATCAAACTTACCATAGTAAGAACTGTCTTGCTGTTCCCAAGAGTGTTGCGACTGGCCTAAAATAGAATAATATCGGATGGCGCTGACCAAGGAAGAATCTAATAAATGCTTTGTTGGACAATTTAGTTGGCCTGAATTCCGGCCAGCAGTTTAGTTTTCTTCTGATGTGGGTTCCGCTCATAGTCAGCCGTTTGTCTGTTTTGCGATTTCAGTCCTCAGGCCACGAAGCTATGAAGTTTGGAAGAAAATACTGGGTCCATTTGGAACCGGATAAGAAAGTTATTGATCACCTTCTTCAACATAGTTTGCAGACCTAAGTGCCTCACATGTCTCGGAAGTTGGCTCGGGACCTCCAAGAGCCATGAGTCAACAGCGGGAAAGCGGCTGGATTAGACGCACTGCCGGATGTGACGCTTAAGCACTGAGGACCCAAAATGCGGAACGACGTTCCTCACCTCTTACGTATAAGTTGGAATAAAAAAGACGTTCCGCCAGGTTTCAGCAATGCGGCAGCAATACCTCCGCATGAAAAGAAATAGATTCAACGGACAACTACCGTGGGACTAGACTCCTGTGTGAATTGGAGAGAATTCTGGTTGATCACCTGCTCAGTCTATTCATGGTTGTCACTTAACGATGAATAAAGGCAAAAATCATGGGAAAACAGAACTGAATTCATCGCCCTGGAAAAACAGTCCACAAGAGTTACCCTTGCACACACGTATCAGGACTGCAAATTGGCGGGTCTTAGTGTTTTGTTCACTACTGGGAGACACTAACTAAACTGGACGACGTTAACCACGACACCTAAGTCCTTGGAAGAGCAAACACCGTTTGAGTTGAATTCAGTGTGGTAGTAAACCAACCCTGAAATCTTAGGCGACTTGAACTGAACAGTCGAAACAAAAAACTTGCCTTATTAGGGGCAGTTTGGTCACCATCGCTAATGTTGAGTGTGCTTGTGTTAAGTGAGTGTCCCTTCATTTTACTCAGAATGATATGCTGTTTCAGAATGATGCTTCGGTTGACGCTGCTTACTTACGACCCAGGGTTGACACACAAGAATGTTAAATTAATTCCACAGACAAACCGAGATGAAAATTTCAGAGCATAAAGGTGTGTCCATTATGAGAAGGGCGAAGTAATCTTTGAGTTCAGCTGCAACTATGTGTCTCAATGAGATCAGTGAATCTTAACTGACGTCATAATAATTTCCCCATACTTACTCTGCCCACGCACTCTCCACTTGTTTCATCATCCATGAGCCCTATCGAAAAGGCCACTTCGTCCGAGAGTGGTACATTAGTCCGTCTGGATGTACGCAGCTGACCTACTTACCCAAGCGTATTCAAGCCCCATACCCAAGCGAAGTCCCACCCGCTAGGTCTGCTAGTATTTGCATTCTGGTGATCGGAAATTTAGAAAACAAAAAGCCTACACAGATTCTCTAAATTTTATGGACAAATACATGCAAATTTCTTTGGAACACGTCTGGAGGGCTTAAAGTGATTGTCCTTATTAGACCATACTCCTGCACTCATAATCGGCAAGCAGCTTAAGCTGAGCGTATTGTCGGGTGCAGCTCACGATTTTCTTGTTAGACTGTTCCGGCAAACTGACTACTAGGGTATATTGTGTGACTTTTTCGTGGGACAAGGCAGAGATTCCATCAAAAAATTAAACCTCTAGGTACGGAATAGACTAACCTGCTTGGTTGGTCGACGGTCCGAAACTGGGCATTGATGTGGGTACTGTAAACAGAGCATCGGTGAAGTGTATGGAACGGGCAATAAAAGTGATTCAGGATGTTTCAAGCAACCATCTTGCGTCACTTACAACATAGGGATATGAGTAACATGACATGACAATATATATATATATATATATATATATATATATATATAGAAAACTAAACTGACTCGCTACTGTTGCAGCACATAACAACAGAATATATCAGCTGTGCCATTAGTCTATGATTTCAGTGATCGTTCTAAGCTACTGCTATGAATTTCGGAGCTGTTGTTGGCCAAATCCAGTGAGTTTTATCGGTCAGAGTTGAATCCTTAAAGAAAATGATAACTTTAAATGTTCGCTTCGTCACCAGTTTAATCCCACAAAGCATGCAGATATATAATTATCACAAAGGCGGCTTGTTCCAACACATAACCCGCATCGAGATTGTCAATAACAATTGGTGGACAAGCTGAATATCACTACTCTGTAACGTGGATTATAGACAATAGTACATTTGCTGCATGCCCTTGATGGTACAAAGTCAGCACCAGTATTGGCCAGTTAACTCTACTCCATTATTTCACAATGGATGCGGAAATTCGGATAATTGCATCAGCAACATAAACGTTCATCATTCGATTGCCAGCTACTGAATTCGGCCCAGATTCAAATCATTAGAAGCTAACTCGACAAAAGACTGACTACAGCCAACAGGCAATTGGTGGAAAGACTGGAAAATTCGGCGACGTTAATCCAGTACTTGAAGATAGGTACAGTTTTGCGAAGGTTACTCGGCGAAGCCCTATATTTTCGATCACTTACTTAAGCCTCATGTGGTAACGAATCAGTGCGCTAACGGATACTATGACCATCAACCTCAACTTGGCTTCCGAAGTGTTTCACATTTTGATTACCACAAAAAATTTCGATTTAAACAACATCACTTTTGTTAAATAATGCAACCAAATGGTTTGTTTGCCAATTTTTTCTCATTCCATCAGCAAATTGTGATGACGATCAACTTCACCCACAATCTCCCTAGTGGACTTCTCGACCTAATCGACCGGCCTGGGAAGTCCTGTTTAGTAACAGCACCATATATTTACGAAGTTACGAAATTAGACTCTTAATTTTTGATTTGACGTTTGTCGGACCAGATTCGGTTACACTACCGAACACCGTCCAGGGGGTCAAGATGACTTCATTTTGATGCAGTCTGTTATTCACAAACCACAGCGACCATTATTTAAACAAGTATATTCCGCCTATATGCTTACATTCCTGGAGCAAAGCACAACTCCGGCTGCAAACATCTGTCTTCAAAGAAGCTGAAAACTGGGTGATTAGTGTGAAATATCTGTCCGCTTTGAAATGTGCGAGCCCACTAAGGTTGATCTGTGTTTTATAAACAGACATTCGGCATGAGTCAAATACAGAAGGTTCGGAAAAATAATTGCCCATTGTGAAAAAGTCCTCGAGAAACTATGGATTTATTCCGGCACAAACATTTGCCACGATTTGGATTATATGTTAAAGTGCGTCATTCTTGAGTAAAGTGTGACATGGACAAGGTTGCAATACCGGTTGTCATTTACAAACTGGGAAGTCGCCTGCTACTGGTGTAAAAACAGCAATTTTAGCTTAATTTCTAGCTTTGAGGCTTCTGATCCGAAAGTTGTTTTCTGGTAACCAACATTATACAGATCCTCAATTCTGTGACAGTCGATAATTTACTGTCGGTCACCCACGTAATTTCAGCTGGTACTTGTAAGTAGTGACATTCTCTAATGTTATTTTAAACAAGTGTAAACTGCTATTCTTAGTAGGGCGAATCCAGGACAAATGGAGTACAATTACCAAAAGCTCTATTTGGGCATTGAGAGTTGCAGTTCCGACGGTTAGTCTTGAGAGGAAATAAGCTGTTTGAGTCATTGGCGAATTTCGCTTTTTTCCGACAAAAGTAGTTGGACAAAGCATAGATGCACCCTAGCTCTTGCGCAGTTGTTTGTGCTTGTCACCATCTAGCAGCAAGTTCAGCAGTACTTCAGAACACAATTCTAACTCACCTGTAAGATTTGTGTGCATCGCAGGGTTTGAAATATTTGCTACACCTGAAT